AATTGAGAAGGAGAAGATTATTACATTTGTAATAATCTGAACAATAAAGATTTATTTTTTAAAAAAAGGTTGAAAATAGCTGCCCTAGAAATGTGAAACACTAATCAATGCATAAGGTTGCTATACTAACAAAAAAATTTTTAACACAGTTCTGATACTCTACCTCATTCTTATTCTGACAAGATATATGCCATTTGTACATTATTTAAGAAACATGGCTCCTTGTTCATCCTGAGAACCTGTATTTCCCGTGTGATTTTCCAATTGATAAAATGGCTACTGAAATTTTAACAACTTACCCACTTGAATATCTGAACCTATACTAAAATGACAGGTTAATTAAGCTTGATCTATAACACAATAAGCTGAATAACATCATATGATATCTGTAAGCAGTTAAGAAAGAAATACAATTTATCAAACTGGCAGTCCCTGTCTGCATAAAACCTAATCCCGGCTTTTAATTTGAAGTAAAAAAAATCATCGACATTTCTAATTCTACTAGTGTGTCAACTACAGATTCTACAAAATAATTTTTATGCAACTATACAAATTCCTTTTTATTCCTGAAACATATACAATAAACTTACTTATTATTGGAGAAGAAACTATTATTCAACAGGTTTAAATAAAGACTGGTATGGCTTTGGAAGCCTAAATTTCAATTTAAAAATAATTTCAGATAAATATACAAAGAACTTTAAATATAAAGTAATTGCAATTCCTTTTAAAATAAGGCAAAAGACTAGTAAACCAAAAACTCACAAGCCAAATTACTATCAAATTTCAGTTCAAGATAATAAAAACCACTGCTGAATTCATACACTGTTTTCACAAAGAACCAACACACTTACAGAAATTCTTCTGTACTGTAATCATGCAAACTTTACAAGAGCAAAATGAAATACCTGACTTCAGCATCCTGGGCACAGTCAATGTGAAAAGCAGATGAAAAATGTAATTGCTCCATTCCTGGATTTGGTAAATACAAATTCTGATCTGAACTGCTCACTATTAGAATCTAGGTGTTAAACAAGGAACTGTTTAAGTATTTATCTAACCTACCCCCTCTTCAAGCCACTTAAACAACTGAGCAGTTCAACCTATCTTCTGACCATAGAGCAAAACATATTTTTATGAAGGGTTTGGCCTGATGATTATCTTCAGTCTAGAAGACTCAACATTCATAATAAGGAAATGGAAGAACAGTCATACATTATAAAGAATAATTTCTTAATCATGATATATGACCATCATTTCCATATTGAAATTCAGAAGACTAATATTAGGCAGGAAAAAGTTAGAAGTTAGATAATAATTTAACTAAAAGTATTCAGCTTCACCAGGCCCAAGTGGCTCAGTGGTTGAGTGTTGAACTAGGAACCTGGAGGTCATGGTTCGATTCCCGGTTGATGGCACATGCCTGGGTTGCAGGCTCAATCCCCAGTAAGGAGTGTGCAGGAAGCAGCTGATCAATGATTCTCTCTCATCATTGATGTTTCTTCCCCCCCCCCCCCTTAAACCAATAAAAATATTTTTAAAATAATAAGTAAATCAAAGTATTCAGCTTCTAAAAGTGAATTCTAGATATCACATACAATGTACAGTTTATGACAAATGATCAGAATGGTCTGCCTAATTTAGCCAATGATAAATAATTACCATCTCCAATAAATGTCTTTAATAAAATATCCTGGAAACAGAATACAGTACAAATTGACTTAACTAGAAAACTAAATGTCTTCTAAATGATTTCTATTTAAAATTTTTAATTAATAAAAGCAAATACTCTGAGTTCAAATACCCAATTTTTTATATTAAAAGGAAATTTTGCAATATGCTACAATGAATGAACCTTTTACTAAGTGAAATTAACTAGTCACAAAAAGACAAATACTTTGATTCCACTTATATGAGGTACTTAGAATAGTCAAAATCATAAAAGACAAAGTATAATGGTGGATGTTTACCAGGGGCTAGATGAAGGGTAGAATGGGGAGTTATTATTTAACTAGAGGCCTTGTGCACAAAATTTGTGCACTTGGCAGGGAAGGGGGGTGCAGGGGACATCCCTTCAGCCCAGCCTAAGCCCTCTCACAGACAAGGAGACCTTGGGGGATGTCCAACTGACCATCAGGGGGCAACTCCTGTGTTGAGTGTCTGTCCCCTGGTGGTCAGTGCTCATCATAGTGACCGGTCATTCTGCTGTTCGGTCAATTTGCATATTAGCCTTTTATTATATGGGATAGGAATAGAGTTCCAATTTTAAAGATGAAAATAGTTACAGAGATGGATGGTGGTGTTGATGCACAATGTGAATGTATTTAATACCAGTAAACACTTTAAAAACAGCGAAAATGATAAACTTTATGGTGTTTATACTTTACTACAATACAAAAAGAAAAATGTTTTAAATGATCTAAAACCCATGAAAATGCTTTTTCTTATCTATTATTAAAATTGCATTCAAGTACATGAAGAATGTTGGGTGTTGAGCCTGTCTAAAATCTTCCAGGAAATATCATTCCAAATGAGTCAGAAGCACACTCAGCTCTATGACATCAAACACAATGAGGACACTTGATGTTTACCAGATGATTTTTCTTCATTGCATAATTCTAACCCTTGTTTCCATTGAATAGAAAGTATAAAACACATCACTCCACATAAATCTCTCCTAAAGGCAAGTTATGCATTTTATTTATATAGATACACATCAACTCTGATTTACACTTTAATTCCCCTGCATATCTAGCAATATGTCTCACACATTGCAGAGAATCATTAGTATCACTGGTTGGTTTTGAGTCTTTACCTTGATGGGAACCTGAAATGTTTCTACTTATTCAGGTTTAAGGAATAATAGCAGCCTAACATCTAGAAATGCTACACAATCAGCAGATATTTCTGCTTGATAGAGTTAGATCAATTTGTTATGAAATACCTTGTTTCCTTTGGATAAACAAACATCAGAGAATTGTCACAGAGCACTGAAATCACCACCTGGTAGGCATCTGGACAGTAAATGCTCAGCCCATTTGTTTCACTTATAGATCAAAGACTAAAATGTAGTTGTGGATTATGAGATCCCAAGTAAACAATTATTAATTTGCAACAAACATTACTGAGCATAGTTTTTAATGCCATCTGTTTACAGATAAAGAAACCAAATTGGCCTCCCTGAGATCACAATATCACAAAACCTAAACCCTACACTTCTTATTTTTAACTGCTTATAACTAATTTCAGAAACAGTGTCATAACCTTGTATCTTGTCACTCTCACTAATGTTCCTACGTCCAATCATAAATGTACTCTGTATCTGACTCTCATCATTTACATGTTTCAAGTAGATAAAATCTGTTGTGTGCATTTCCTGTAGATCTTGTTTATTAAAATTATGTAAATTTTTTGGTTCTTAAAGCATACCACTAGTATAAATATGGCTTATTTTTCTTTCTCTGGTAGATTTACACCACTAAATGTTCAAAACAGAACACTGGTGGCCATAAAACAAAATAAATAGGCATACTATGTATAGTGGGATGGACTAGAGCTTCTCTTCCTTGTTAAGACAGAGATTTGTTGTCAGCCCACATTCTTGAGCTCTAGGAGTAGGTGAAGTATAAATATTTGTTGGATGAAGATAATGTAGAAGGATAGCTGCCACTGAAACCGGTTTGGCTCAGTGAATAGAGCGCCAGTCTGCGGACTGAAAAGTCCTAGGTTCGATTCTGGTCAAGGGCATGTACCTTGGTTGCGGGCACATCCCCAGTAGGAGGTGTGCAAGAGGCAGCTGATCGATGTTTCTCTCTCATCAATGTTTCTAACTCTCTATCCCTCTCTCCTCCTCTCTGTAAAAAAAAATTCAATAAAATATATTTTAAAAAACAAAACAAAAAAACACAGACTTAAAAAAAAAAAAGAGCTTCCATTGCATGAAGCTGTTGTTCAACCCATTCAACAAGTATTTAAAATTGTTTTGAATGATGATAAAATAGAAAACCTCACTGACCAAACCAAACCAAGAATGTAGAAGTTATGAGCATTCCCAATGAACATAAGCAAAAACAAAAAGCAGAAAAGATTACTTGGAATTTGAAAAGGTAGTACCCGTTTTAAACTGAGAATACATTTAAAAAATTAGCACATTTTGGGGAGGTCCTAAGTTCATCATTTGCATCCTTCTAAGAATGTGACACAAGTTGGGAAGGTTACCACGAAAAGTGACCAAATGCCCTCCCCTGCAGACCTGGTCACCTCTAACTGCCCTCCCTTGGTGACCTGATTGTACACAACTGAGATCCCCTGCTGGCCATCTTGTGGCAGCCATCTTTTGTCCACAAGGGGGCAGCCATCTTTGACCAGATGGGGGCAGCATCTTGTGTTGGAGTGACAGTTAATGTGCATATTATCTCTTTATTATATAGGATTTCATTCTCATTAAGGTTCAATTTTCTAGCAGCTTAAGACTGCTATTAAGAACTTTTATTTTTTTATGGATGATAAAAAAACATTATAAACTGAAGAACCAAAAGATAGATATAGAGACAGTAAAGCAACAAGCAGACTGTCAAATTATAGTGGAGAGGTTGGGGAGATCTGGGGGAGATAAGAGATCAACAGAAGGACTTGTATACATGCATATAAGTACAACCAATGGACACAAAACTCTAGGGAGGGAGGGTGTGTACGGGGGGGGAGGCATTGGTATATGTACAAAAATAATTAAAAAATATATATATTATTTTAAAAAAAAGAACTTTTATTTTTTAGTAGTAAGTAGCAGTGAGAAATTTAAAAAAGGCAGCATTAGTATGGTGTAGTACTGATTAAAAGTCTAGACTACACCAAAACTAGACTTGAGCCATAAATTTGCTATATAATCTAGGATAAATTGCCTAACTTCTCTGAACGTTTATTTCATCATCTCTTAAATAAAGATAATATGTGTCCACTTTATAAAGCTATTTTGAGGATTAAATAGACAAAATACTTACCGATGATAGGCTTCTCGCCGATACTTTTTCAGGGCATGTTTATCCATGTTAGCAGGCAGATCTGCTGCATTCTGTAATCGATCACTCCAGGAGGTTGTCATTTTAATTGTATTCTGAATTCTAGAAAAGAAAATTAGTATTGTAATTTAGAAGCTTAATAATGATACCTGATTTTTAAAGATACATATGTTTTTTTTAATTTATTTTTTGTTAATCCTCACTTGGGGATATTCTTTCCATTGATTTTTAGAGTGGAAGGGAGGGAACGAGGGACCAATGAGGAGAGGGGGAGAAGGGAAAGGGGGAGGGGGGGAGAGGGGGAGGGAGGGAGGGAGGGAGAGGGAGAGGATGAGAGAAACATGTATTGACTGCCTCCTTGCACAAAATAGACCTCAAAGTGATGCCATAACAAGAGATAAGGAAGGTCACTTCATAATATTAAAAGGATCAATACAACAAGCAGGGTCACCTAAGACAATCAGAAAACACAATATTTACATTACAATTCATAACAGTAGCAAAATTACAGTTGTAAAGTAGCAACAAAAATAATTTTATGGTTGGGGGTCACCACAACATGAGGAACTGTATTAAAGGGTCACAGCATTAGAAAGGTTGAGAACCACTGATTTAGATGCTCGATAGAATGCTATTAAACAATGATTGGATTACCAAAGAGATCCAAGAAGAAATTATAAACATCCTGGAAACAAATGACAATGAAAACAACAATCCAAACCTATGGAACACAGTGAAGTAGTCCTGAGAGGGAAGTTCACAGCTCTACAGGCCTACCTCAAAAAACAAGAAAAAATAGTAATAAATTATCTAACTCTAGAACTTAAAGAATTAGAGAGCAACAAGAAAAGCTCAGAGTGAGAAGAAAAGGAGATAATAAAGATCAGAGCAGAAATAAATGACATAGAGACAAAACAAAAAACAAAAGATCAATGAACGGCTGACCAGTTGACTGGACACTTAGCATATTAGGCTTTCATTATATAGGAGGATTGTGTTTGGTAGCAACAGTTGGTATATAGTATGAATCAAATAAATAAGGCAAGGAAATAATGACAATGGTCATGCAAATTAACCATCACTCTATCACAAAGATGGTGTCACCCAGACCTCTTAGCCCGCCAGAGTCCCCCAGTCTTGGGGGGGGGGGGGGGGTGGCCGTTGAGAGCTGGCAGCATAAGTGGCCCAGCAGAATGCCTGCTTCTTCACCTCAGCAACAAGGCAAGCATCTGCGCCCAGCCACAGATGGGCCTCTGGGCCACGGAGAGCCTCTGGGCAGCATGGGCGCAGCAGCCAGGCCCCGCAAAGAGCTACTGGCGCACGGATTTGCTCGCAGAGCTACTAGCATTTATATAAAGACTTATAGACAAATATTCCATAGCAGCTTTGTAATTGTCAAAACTGAAAACAAACCAAATGTCTTATGAACCGGTTAAAGGACCCATTGTGGTACTTCATAAAATAGAATACTATTATGCAATGAACTACTGATATACAACCTAAATACCAAAATTATGCTGAGTGAAAGAAAAAAAAAAGATTCCATTTATATAGAATTCTAAAAAATGCAAACTAATTTATAGTGACAGAAAACAGACAAGTGGTTGTCTGGGGTGGAACAGTGAGGCTGCAAAAAGCCCTAAGGAAACTTTGGGGATATGTTCATTACCTTGATTATAGTGACTGTTTCACAGGTGTCTCCATATGTCAAAACTTATTGCACTTTCTAAATATGTGTAGGTTGTTACACATATTTATACTTCAATAAAACTATTTTTTTAAGTCAGGCTTTTTTTCCTAATTTCTAACAAATTAGAGGTAGTAATTACACTAAGAAGAGATTTCCCTCATTTTTAAAATTACTTTCTTCAAATTATTTGCAGGAAAAATTCAAAGTACTTTCTTATATTACTCATGGATTAAGAAAAACACTTTTTTTTTTTATTAATCCTCACCCGAGGATTTTTTCTATTAATTTTTTTTTTTTTTTAAAGATAGTGCAAGGGAGAGGGTGAGAGGGAAAAAGAGAGAGAAAGAAACATCAACGTGAGAGACACACATTGACTGGTTGTCTCCCACATGCACCCTGACCAGGGCTGAAGATTGAACCTGTAATTGAGGTACATGCCCTTGACTGGGAATTGAACCCATGACTCTTAGGTCTGAGAGCCAATCTTCTTATCACTGAGCCAAATTGGCCAGGGTAAAATAAATATATTTTATTTAAAAGATTCAACTTATAGTCTCAGCAAAGGTCACATAAAATTTTATTCAACTAGAAATATGAACATAATTAAATAACCATATTATCACTAAAAAGGGGTACAAAGTTATGTGAAGCTAAAGAGATAAAATTTTTCTTAAATCAGTATCTTCAAACAACTTCTCAAATGAAGTTTTCCTAATACTAGAGGCCCTATGCACGAAATTCGTGCAGGAGGAGGGGTCCCCCTCAGCCCAGCTTGCACCCTCTCCAATCCAGGACCCGAGGGGATGTTGGACTACCAGTTTAGGCCCAATTTAAACCAGCAGTTGGACATCCTTTTCACAATCCTGGACCGCTGACTCCTAATCACTCACCTGCCTGTCTGCCTGATCACCCCTAACTGCCCCCCCCACCAGCCTGGTCACCCCCAACTGGCCCCCCCTCCCCCTCACCCCCCACTAGCCTGTCACCCCTTATGCCCCCCCCCCCAGCCTGGTTACCCCATGCAGTGGCTGTTCAGTTGTTGGTCATCCCTCACTAACACCCCTGCCAGCTTGGTCGGCCCACACAGCCTGCTTGTTCAGTCATTTGGTCATCCCTCACTAACTCCCCTGCTGACCTGGTTGTAGGAAGCCATCTTGTGAGAGTGTGAGGGTTAATTTTCGATTACCTCTTTATTATATAGGATGTCTTAACATTATTATGACAGACTTTTGAACTCTATCCAGAAACAGTCTATCTAATGCTTAAATATATTTCATAGTAACAATAAAATTAAAGATGATTGTTTATCATCTGGCAAAAAAAAAAAAAAAAAAGAGTTCCAAAAAGTAAACATTTCACTTATCACCTGTTTACAGTGTCAAGCTTAAGAGTAGTTTAATATTAGCAGCAGCTAATAAATAAAAAACTCTAATTTTAATTCCTCTTAAACAATAGTGGTACATGTGGTACAGTTAAATAATTCTGTTTTCTTATAAAATATCCAGCAAGCAAAGTAGTTGTACTTGACACATAACAACTGAAATAAACTCTTAAGCATTTTAAATATTAGAGTCTCACACTTTAAAAATACTTCACAGGCAAAACATACAGTTTCCTTCATCACTAATACCACCTTCCCCCAAAGAAAGGGAAACCAGCTGCCCCAACAGTTCCAGGCAACTGCTAAAAACAGGAAGCAAGAGTAACTGAAACTGTGGGGTAAGCCTGGTTATTAGCAACCTGCTTCAGGTCACATCAGTAATTCACTTGGAAAGAAGTGAATAGCACTTAAATATAATATATATTAAAGGCCTATCATCAGGCAAAGTGTTTTTAATACACATGGCAGTTTGAATCATATATTCATTTTTCTTTTTGTTTGTTTTAGTGACCCAAATGTATTTAATTAGCACTGAAATATCCTCAACTCCAAAGCTCAAAGCCCTGACAGAATATATCTTGGCATTATCATGCCGCTGTGGTTTACACAAATTGTTTTTTAGTAACATCCCGTGGGGAAAATTTTTGAACATCTATCTCACAGAAATTTATAGAGTATGAACTAAAAAGTCATGTTTTCTTTACCCTGGAGGAGTACTGATCTGATTTTCTCAATATCTTTGGCTATCGGGAGGCCCTACCAAATAAATATTCAATTTTCAATGGAATTAAGTTATGTCAATATAGGTAATAAAATGATACCAGTAACTAAATATGAACTCAGTGTTTTACTAAACTTCATTGGAATTTATTTTGTGAAATATAAAGCTTAGAATTTACAAATTTTATAATCAACCATTTTCATTCTAAGAACACTGAACATGCTTTGAAACAAATTTCTTTTAAAGTCTTTATTGTTGAAAGTATTACATGTCCCCATTTTTCCCCCATTGACCTCTTTTAGCCTACCCGCACCACATTTGAAACAAATTTTGAATTGTTTCTTCAAACTTTCTCACCAACCTGAAATTTTAGTCTTTTTCTTTTTAATTGATTTTTTTTAATTGATTTCAGAGAGGAGATAGAAACATCAATGATGAAGAGAATCATTGACTGGCTGCCTCCTATAGGTCCCCAGAGGGAATGAGCCAGCAACCCAGGTATGTGCCCTGACCAGGAATTAATCCATGATCAGGCCAGCAGAGGGAAGTTGGGGGCAAACGGCTGGCAGGGGAGCAATTAGGCATCAATCAGGCTGGCATGAAAGTGGTTAGGGGGTGATCAGGCTGGCAGGCAGAAGTGGTTAGGGGCAATCAGGAAGACAGGCAGGTGGGCAGTTGGGAGCCAGCAGTCCTGGATTGTGAGAGGGATGTCTGACTGCCCTCTATGGGTCCCAGATTGGAGAGGGTGCAGGCTGGGCTGAAAGACAAACCCCCTCCCCTGCCCCCATGCACATATTTTATGCACAGGGCCTTTAATGCTAAAATAATAATAGCTAACATTTATTGAGTGGTCACTTCTTTTCATGTGTTATTCTAAGCACTATACATATTTTATCTAATTGATCTCACAACAGTATGAATTATTAATAGGTACTATCTTCATTATACAAAGAAGACGACAGTACAGGGAAGTTAAATAACTTAACCAGGGTCATAAAATTTTACTTGCAATGAAGTGTGCAGATTCTGGAGCTATACTGTATAGGTTCAAACCTGGCTTCAGCACTAATGAGCTCTATGATTAAATAAATTATACAATCACTTCAGTTTCTTCCACTCCAAAATGGTCAGATTCAATGCATCAATAAGTGCAAGGTGCTAAGTATAGTGGCTGACACATAGTCCTTAATAAATTATTTATAATGCCATGCCCCACATTGTTTAAATACTGCAACCTCTGCACAATACAGTACTTAATGTTTGGAGGAATGTTATAATAGCTTTCTACTTTCAGAGTCACAACTTCAGAG